GCTCATCTCCTGCTCCTTGCCCCGCCGCGCCGCCGCTCTCAAGCCCGCAAAACTCGGAGATGGCGGCGAGCAGCGCCGCAGGCTGCTCCAGGTGGGCGCAGTGCCTGCAGCAAGAAGGCAGACGATGCGTGGCAGCGAGAAAGCAGACAATTGAGCGCCCTGGCACTCCTAAAACGAACTTTTGCAACCCCCAACGGGGCTCTCACCCGCACTCCTCCACCCACACCAGCCGCGCATCAGGCAGCGTGTCCATGAACTTCTGGGCATTGTCGGGGCTGCAGGCAAATGTGGGAGGAGCAAGGCAGGGCCGAGGGCGAGCGGGCAAGGCAAGTGGCGCTGAAAACGGGGCGCGCAAGTGAGCTGTTGCAAGCGGCGCGGGACCCTTGCAGTTGCCGCCCGTCTTTCCCAGCCGCTTCGTCAGCCAACAGTCAGCAGCGGTGCGCACCTGAGGATCTCATCGTTGCGGCCCCACACCACCAGCGTGGGCAGCTGCACGTCCTTGATGGCTGAGCTGATCGCATAGCCGCCCGACTGCAAGACAAGGGACACGCATAGCCCAACAGGCTGTTGCCACACGCTTTCCTGCCTGGCGCGAGCTATGGGGGTCAGGAGCCCAACCCTGCCAACCACCCCAGCCGGCCCAGCCCACCTGCATGAAGGCCACGTTTGCGTCGGTCCACCCCGGCAGGTTGGTGTGCAGGCGGCCCACGCGCATGGCGTCGTCTGTGGCATACCGCCGCCTGTCGTGGTAGGCCATCTGGTTGGCCACCTGGCGCAGCGGCACCGAGCGCAGCACCTTGACGCCCAGCTGGGACAGGAAGCGGGGCATGGTGGCCAGTGGGCCGATGCCGTCGATGAACCCCTGCACACGGGAGCGGCGCGCAGGGGTGGGGGGGAGTCAGGTGTCTGGCCAGCCAAGGCAGGCGGCTGGCTGGGAAGAGCTGGAGGGCTGGATGGGCGGCGTGCCCGCTGTCGCGCGCCACAACCGCGCTGCCCATCCAGCCGCCAGGCTCCCGACCAGCAGGCCGCCAGCCAAGGCCCCCCGACCAGTGGGCCGCCAGCCACGGCGCCCCCCCAGGCAGGCCGCCGTGCGCCCACCTGCGCGTCGATGAGCACCAGCCTGGCCAAGTCCTCGGGATGGCTGGTGGCATAGTCGATGGCCACTGTGCCGCCCAGGCTGGTGCCCACCAGCGTGGCGGGCCGCCCCACCACCTCCCGCAGGAAGGCACGCAGGTGCGCCCGCTTCTGCGCGGGACCCAGCTTGATGTCGGCGCCCTGGCCGCCGCCAAAGCCGCAGTCTGCACGGGCACCGGGGCGCCGGGGGCCGGGGAGAGCGATAGAGGGCGAGGCGTCAGCGGGAGCCGCCGGCCCAGCCTCCCTGCGGCGGCAGCGCCAGGCGACCCCTTCTGCCTGCTACGCCCTCTGCATGCAGCTGGACATCCCATTCCCGGCGCGCCGCCACCTGAGCCTATGAGCCTGTGCTCACCAGTGAAGCCCCAGCCGGCCAGGTCCACCGCGTACACGTCTGCCGCCTGGCTGAGCAGCGGCAGGAAGCGGCGGAATTCCAGCGACGAGGAGTCGAAGCCGTGCAGCAGCACAAAGGCGGGGCGGGAGGTGTCAGGCGCCGCGGGGCCCACGTAGGCCGTCTGCACCTCGCCCAGGCCCGCCACCTGCAGCGGCGTGCGCCGCATCGCCGCCATCATCTGCTGCGCCGCGGGCTCCTCGATGTCCGCGGCCTCTGGTGGAAAGAAGTCTGGGTATTGCAGGGGTGGGCTGCTGCCGTTCACGGAGGCCGCGGCTCTGAGCGGCGGCAGGGAACGCTGCCGCGCGCCGCCTGCCGCCGCCGCCGGTTGCCGGGCAAGCTGGGGGCCGCCCGCCGGGCGCACCGCCGCTCTGCTGCTGATGCAGCTGCTGCTCACAAACGAAGCGGTGGTCGCCATGGCGAGGCTCGAGGCTTGCGAGGACCAGCCTCCCACTCTTGGGGATAGAGGGGGACGGCTGCGGCTGCAACCTGGTGCTAACAGCTCCTAGAGGTTGGCAGCGTGGAACACAACGATCGGCAGGCTTAATTGCGGCGGGGCCATCCAGATGAGCGCTGGTTTGGCGCCCAAAACCGAGCTGGCATTGAACTTGAAATGCGGTCGGGAAACGCTCCCATTACTGTTTCGGCGCGGCGATCATTGACGGTAGACGGCTGCTGGCACCAAGGGCCCGCCACAGGGCTGCTGTCGGGGCACCGCAGCCTTTTTCGGAGTGATCAGGCGGGCAGGATGTATATAAAACAGGCGAGTCGGCGACAGCTGCACTGTCCCAGCCGTCTTCTGGGCCGCCCCTGGCCCGCCGCTCAGCCCCACCAGTGCGCCTCTCGCAGGTGGTGATTGAGGGGTTCAAGTCCTACAAGGACCAGACCATCTTGGAGCCCTTCTCCAACCGCATCAACTGCGTCGGTGAGCGCGCAGCAGCCGCGAGGTTGCCGCCCGCCCGCCAGCCGCCGCTCCCGCCACCGAGTCGTGTTTGCAGCACTCGCTCTGGCCGTGGGGCCTGCCTGATGAGTTAGTTGCCTTGCCTCGCAACTTGCGGGTGATAGCCAGAGTTCAAGCTGCCTGCTGAGACATGCTGCCTGCCCTGGCCGCTCGCTGGCTGCCATCACCCCTCACTGCAGTGGGCGCCAATGGCTCCGGCAAATCCAACTTCTTCCATGGTGAGGCAGCTCAGGGGATACGGCGGATGCAGAGCCCAGCTGTGTGGGCTGCCTGTCCTTGCATGCTGCTGTTGGGAGCTGCTGGGCCAGCAGCAGCCAGGCTGCCGGCCTCCTGCCCACGCTGCTGGCGCCCGCGCTGCTGCCCGAATATCACAACAAACAACAATTGGCGCTGCTGGCCCCCCTGCCTACAGCCATCCGCTTTGTGCTGGACGACCTGTTCAGCTCGCTGTCCACAGAGGACAGACGCGCGCTGCTGCACGTGAGCCGCCGTGGGCGCCGCCGGTGGCGGCAGCCGGGCTCGCTGCATGTTGGTTGCTGCTGCCAGCCGCACCGTCTGCTGGCCTGGGGCTGAGGAGCTGAGGAGCCGTGTGCCCCACCCACCTCGGCGGCCGCCCCCGCGCTCGGCTGCCCTGGGTGCAGGAGAGCGTGGGGCACCACGTGCTGAGCGCATACGTGGAGATCGTGTTTGACAACAGCGACAACCGGCTGCCCGTGGACAAGGCGGAGGTGCGGCTGCGGCGCAGCATCGGCATGAAGAAGGACGACTACTATCTGGACAAGAAGCACGTGACGTGAGGCTGGGGTTTTGGTGGCGGCGGCGGCGGCGGCAGCGGTGATGGGGGTATGGTGTTTGTGTTTCTGAGGGGTGGTACTGGAGTTTAACTTGTGGCAGGCACGGCAGTTGCAAGGCAAGCAGCTGGGCGTGGTGCCCGGCCCATCCCCCCTTGCCTACACGTCCCCGGTCCCTGCCCACACTCCACACACACACAGCGGCACGTCCCCCCGGGTTTCTTCTGCCCTGCAGCAAAAAAGAGGTGGCCAACCTGCTGGAGACTGCAGGCTTCTCGCGCGCTAACCCTTACTATGTGGTGCAGCAGGGCAAGATTGCGCAGATGGCCAACATGAAGGTGGGGGTGGGGGTCGGCTGGCGGGCGGTGAGCGATGGCGGTGCTAGGTTGTGGGTGCTGGGTGGTGGGGCTGCACCGGAAGGTGGCCTGCGGCAGGGACGCTCCAGGAACACGCGCCACACGTGTGCATGCATGCATGCATGCCACCCACACGCTGAAGAAGCGCCCCCGCCCCGCCCCCTGCCCCTGCCCCAGGACGAGCAGCGGCTGGAGCTGCTCAAGGAGATTGGCGGCACGCGCGTGTACGAGGACCGGCGCAAGGAGTCGTTCCGGGTGATGGAGGAGTGCCAGTCCAAGCGCACGCACATACAAGACCTGGTGGGTGGGTGGTGGCTGGGGGCTGCTGATGGTGGTGGCTGGGGTGGTGGTGGTG